GCAGTATCCTGCTGCTGCCAATACCTTTCTTATAGTATTATGGACTTTGCAGGATCATGGATGGATTTAGAGTATATAATTCTCAGTGATCTATCACAGAAAAAAATGAATTGAGTACCATATGTTCTCACTCATACATGGACTCTGAATATTTACTATAATATTATTTTATATGTACATTTGTTTATTGACATATTTTGTTATTTCTAAAAATTTGTATAGTTGAGATTTTATGTGTATAATTCTAACCATCACTAACTTCTAGTGAATTTAAGTGAATTTAATATTAAATGAATTTAATACTCTTTAAATTTTACATATTATTTATTTCATTTTACTTGCACTTAATGGTCATATATAAAAGATACAAAGTAGAATAAATCAGAGCTAACAACAAAGGTCTAGAATGCCAAGCAATTATGTCTACTGAAAGCCATTTCTTTTCTGTTAATTATGCACTGTGCTTTGGTGTTATTTTTTAATAATTGCCTACTACATAGGAAATGTGGTTTTAAAACAAAATATATTTGTATTATATGTCCATTCTTTAAGTATGCTCCCCAGTTTTAAGTTAATATTAATTAAATTACCTTTCATTTTTTACTGACCAGAACAATAAAGAAAATGACTAAGCATGCAATCTATTTGCAATAAAACAACTATATTCATTTAAAGAAATTCATTATAATTATTTAAAAGTATTTAACGAATTGGTGTTGACCTCAGAAACATCTTTCACCTACTTCATTTGCAATTTCAAATCAATTAACTGCTGGCTGATTTTTAAATTACTTGAAATATGAAATAAAAAATTATTTGCTGTTATGTTATTCACAGTATTAAACAATTGTTAAGGGCATGGAAAAGTAAGAAAGGGGAAAAAGGGTTTTTGTTGGTTGTTGTTTCTTTTTTTTCTGAGTCACTTTGTTGACCAGGCTGGAGTGCAGTGGCACACTCAAGATCACTGCAACCTTGACCTTCCACCTCAGCCTTCCAAGTAGCTGGAACTACAGGTGTGCATCACCACACCCAGCTAATTTTTTCATTTATTTTAGAGACAAGGTCTGGCCATGTTGCTCAGTCTGGACTCAGAAAAAGGGTATTTACATGCAACCTTTGCTTCTTGACTGCTTGATTATTTCTTAACAAGGACAAAGGATATAACAAATTATTAGTTGAATAATTTTATTTTATAACTGACTAAAATCTTTGAGATAATATAGTTTAATTTTCTCACATCTTCTAATGAAATTATTAGCCAGAAGTTTTTTTAAATGGCTCAAGGTTATAAAGCAGCTAGTGCTAGAAGTTTAACTATAGTCTAAATTTTCTGATATCTAGTCTAGTCTAGCTTTCTTTTGTCAAACATTTCATCATATGTCAATATCATGAATATATATGAGTGATGATGGCATCAAAAATGTGAAAAAATTTATCTTAAAAACTGAAACATTTATCAACTCAGCCTCCATTATTTTGACCCAAGCACAAGTATGTACAAGAATCTATTAGCATTCAGCAAACATCTGTGTGTGATAGTGTGATAGCATTAGCTCAAGGGTGAAAGATTAATTTGTTATTAGTTAGGTGGTTTGATATGTATGTACAGTTATAGTTCTACATATTTATAATAATTAACACTAATGATCTAACATTTCTTCTCTCTTGATAATTAAATCAATCACCACAAAGAGTTGTAAGGTAATATTTGAATCTAAAGTTATTTTAAGAAGCATGATTAAATTCATGTAAGAATCACAAGACCAATATTTGAACAATTATCTTAATATATTCTAAATTTAAATAATTAAATAATAATTAAAATAATAATAGCCAAGACCAGGAAAAGTCTTTGAAAAATCTAAAGGAAGATATTTCTGTATATATACAATACAAGTTCTCTGTCAGTTCAGAGTTTTTAATTTTTTTCTCAATAAATGAAAATCACAGCTTACAGTGTTTAGAACAAACGAATGAATGAAGAAAAAGTGGCTTATGTTTATATTGTTCATTTAGGTTTTTTGCTTTTTTTCTCCAACATGTCTCAGAAAAAATGTATTAGACAAAGTGGAAAACAATAAGACTTGTTTGAGAAGGAGGACATTGCATTTTCCACTATCAAAAACCAAAGGACAATCACTTGCTCTTTTTAATTCCTCATTTACTCATCATTAAAATATGAGAAAAATACTTATGGTAACTTATCTCACAAAATTCCCGTAAGAATCAAATGAGATAATAGGTGAGAAGTTAATGGCAAAGTGTAATGGCCACATTAATTTGCGTTATCATCATTTTTTAGATGGAATTTTTATTAGACACTGAAAAACTGTAGACACAACGCTTCTCTATAAGGTTATGGATGTGTCTGAGAATTTCAAGAGACTGCATGAAACAGTAGGATTTGTGTGGATTAAAAAAATACTTGTAAAGGGAGCTTCAGACCAGAAATCAACTTTTAGCTCCATGAGTATGTTTGAACTTTGCTGTTACATGATGCCTCTTGGAGAACTGGGATATCAAAAATCATAATACTGGCCCAAAATATTTGTAGAAAATATTCTTGAGATAGCCATATACTTAAAATGAGTCATTTTTATTGATTTAAACAGTAATAATAACTATATTTGAGGGGAAGAACAAATGAATTTCAAAGGGATTTTTAATTTTTTTTTTTGAAATTGACCAATTTGTACAAATGAAATTGCATCATATAGAAAATTCCAGACTGAGTTTATTTTTTAGGCTATAGTTTATTTTGGGTGAAATTCATTTTGTGCTATAATATGAATAATGTTTCCATAGCATAACTGTTACAGTGCAATATTTTATCAGTTATAAAATGTTTTAAAGATGCAAAATCATTTTTACAAGTCATAAAATCTAGGCCATTTTCCTTTTTTTGTTGGAAGTAGGTATTTTTATTGGTTTTAACATCTGGGAATTTCTAAATATTTATTAATTTTACAGTTACAGTGACTTGAGTCCTCATCTGAAATTTCTCTATACTGGCTGTTTGACATTGGTAAATTTACTTACCTTCTCAGGGCCTTAATTTAATTAATGAAACTTTAAAAAAATAGAATAATGCCTGCTTAACAGGATTGGTCTAAGGATTTCAGGGATAATAGCTACAGTTGAGGTGCATAGCCAATCACCTGGCACACAGCAAGCATTTAATAGACAGGATCTATTATTATCACATGACTACTATATGCCCTCTCTATTCCCACACAATCATTTTACTTTGTTACTCATGTGTGTACTTCCACATAAAATCAATGAATGGTCCAACATAGTTAACCAACTCCCGAAGGGTCACTTACACTCTGTGTAGAAACTGTTCAGAGTTTGAAAAGATGCTTGGTCTTTATGAGAATAGACAGGAAGGTTATTTAGGAATATCTTCAGTACTATCTCATGCAGTCAAGGGCTCCAGGTAGAAAGGATCCACTATGACACAACGTCAGTTTTGTATACATCTGTTTTGCTTGGTGACAAGAATTGCTGGCTGGCAGGTTTCAGAAAAATAAACTCTGCCTTTAAAGGTTAAGAAGAAGTTACATTTTAAGTTAGGCTCCTCAGAATAGGACTTTGACTAATATGAGAACTGGAGTGTTTTAAGAGCATGCCACATCAGAACCATGGAATCCATCCAATTGTCATTTACAAGTTCTGTGTCAAAGACTAGTCAGGATGCTCTCAGAAGAAATTAACAATTATATTTTATGTTTAAAATTTATGCTCAAAGTGCATTTATTTCGATTCAAGCAGGCTCTTTTCTACAAGAACACTTTGATGCCAGTCTATAATTGCATAATGGGTTTCCTGCTTAACAGCAGCAGAAATTATTCTTTCCTCTCCCTGAAGTGGATTGCCTCGGTTTCTTCACCGTCAGCTCTCACCCTCCACCAGCGGAGGGAGCAAGAGACCTCTGCATGGGAGGCCGCAGCCCCACTTCCTCTTGGGGCATCTCTCTGGGTATCTCTCTTTTCACCTGGAATACAACTATCTGTCCTGTTTACACCAAGTCAGTTATCCCGAGGTATTGTTTTGGTCAAGAAATTTCATCACAGTGCTTGTATTTTAATGAAATACTTTAAAAATTACCTGGGAATATATAAGGCAAACAAAATCTCTATTATGCCTGTTTGGTGCATTCCCTTATTGAAATTTTGGGATTTTCTAAGATACATGTAAATATCTCAATGCAGATGTAGCTTCTCTCTCTCTCTCACAAACACACACACACACACACACACACACACACACACACACACACACACACACGACACACACCCCAAGGGAAGGCCATATGTCCCAAGTGAGACCTACTTGAAAAAACAGAAGTTCTGAACATATCACACAGTATCATTGTGAGAGGACATTCGTCAGTTTTCTCTCTGGCAATGAGAATTTTCTCACCCTCAAGACATGCAAATGACTTTTTTAATCTGTTCTTTTTATGTTATTTGCATAATTTTATCCTGCAAAAGTGAGAGCTGTCAAAAATTAACCAGTTGGGGCTTTGGCATTCAGTTATGTGACCTTTTCTGGAGACTTAGATCTCTTCAGGGAACTAGTAACTTTAGATGTGAGAGATGTGGACGTGATGAGAAGGTGGTCAGTGGCAGAAAGAACGGGTGAGCGATGCACATGATGGCATTTAGAAAGTTGTTTGACTTTTTGGATCTTCTCATATCCTTGTTTTTGTTTTGGTAAATCAGTATTTTATCCAATAATAGAAGAGATGACTCAGATATGTGTGATGTTCTACTCTCCTATGTTATTCAGGTTAATGATAACAATGCAAAATTTTTGCAAGCTTGATGCTAATTTAAAATACTATTGGAAAAACCATGCAAACAGTGCTCTGTTTTTTATGCATTGGTTTGAGTGCATGTGTCTGAGTAGTAAACTGCCAAAAATGCTTATTTAGTAAGAATACTTCCTCCTTATCAATTCAGAGAGTTGCACGCTGTAGGGCTGTAAGAAACTTCTTAATTCATTTTACTTTGACAAAGGTTGGAGTATGTAGTCCACTGGGGGCAAAGACAAGTGCCCCTCTCTCTTTGATCACATCGCTTTAAACATTTTTCAGCTTTAAACTTGTCTTACAAATGAACTATATGTGTCTATTAACTGTTTCACTGTACCTGATATCTAACACGAATGCACCTTGAAAAACAGCAGAAGCAAGCACATTTGTTCAAGTCCTGCGATGGCTAACTCGGCGACTCATCTCCTGGCAAATGATAGTCATAGTTGTAGTTCATCCATTAGACTGGAAAAGGCACGATTCCCAAGGGGCCTTGGTGCCTTTTCCAATTCCCGGGAGACCCTGCGAGCCTCCGCGTGTGGTGCCTGCGCCCCGGGAGCGGTCCTGCTAATCAGGTCAATGATTAGCGCCTGGCCCCAGGGACAGGACAGGCGTCTGTCACAGCAGTTAGGGAGCCTTCACACGGAGCCCTCTTACGGAGAACCTCCCGTTCAGAAACATCGCTTAGTCCTCATTTACTCACTGGGAACCTCGGAGGATTTCAGCTGATGTTTTTCTCTCCCCTTAGACAGTGAGGAGCTCCACATAAACAGGGGACAAGAGCACAGGATGCAGTTACTTGGAGGGTGTTGATTGAAAACTTCGATCTCCCCACCCCATTCACGGTTCATTTGGCTGATTGTCTCACCTCATTCACAGAGAATATTTCAATTAAGGTAAGTGCTGCTTTATCTGGGCGACTGCATCGCACTGAATTTCTGCATTGAAAGTTCTAACTGACTAAACTGACATTCTGCACTGCAGCAAGTGACTGTTGTTGTCAGGAAAAAAAGCTTAGTTTATAAGCAAGTGTCCTGGAGAGAAAAAGGCGTTTGGGGTAATGATATTTCAGGGCAATTTCTTGTGAAATATAATCATTCTGCCTTGCACCAGTAGAAAATAAAAGGGAACATGAAAAGAGAGTTAATTTCTCATTTTGCCTTTTTAGTAATCTATTTAGAGGACTGTGCAGTGCCAAGGTAAATTGATTTTGATTGAAGTGGTTTGTTGATGTCATATGGTAAAATCTCTGAGTCTGAAAGCTTCAAAGTTAAATTAGATGGAAAGAAAATTTGCAAATGAGAGTCGAGATTTTGTGCAGCTTTCCACTTTAACAACATTCCTGAACTTCCCTTTGGTTTAAGGATTTAGGACTAAATCCTTGAATATTTTAATAGTGTTCATTTAGAACTTAACATTTAAATGTTGTAGTTTCTGATGCAAGTGTTAAGAAAAATGAACCTGGATGATTTAATATGCCATTGATATAATTCATAGTTTCTATTCAAGAGAGATGGATTTCTTTTATGAGATAGAATAATATAAAAGAAAAATTACCTGCTTTGTAAAATGCTTCTTTTTAAAAGGAGAATTCTTCAATAAAAGAATATACATTTTTAAAAATCTTTACTTATAGTTTTCTTTTTATATTTGAGGTCATTTTTTTATTATCAAAGTATAGTAAATTTAGGTTGTGCTTGTATTTGACACATAGTTTAGGGCAATTATCCAGATAATTTAAATAAACCAGCTCATCTTACTTTTTTTATACACACTTTCCTCTTAAGTTTGCTAAAAATATCCAGAGGGATAATGGTAGCGACTTTTTTTCAAAGTTAGGCGTAATTTCTAAACTTTTTCTTTTCTACCTTACTTTGCACATGTAAATCTGCATATTATAGTAAACTTCTATGTAATCTAGAATAATAAATTCTATCACTATAGTTATATGTGATAATTAGCATTCCAAATGTTGAAAAACAGCAATCACCTTGTTATCATGTAAGACTTAAGCTATAAAAAGGTTTTCAAATAATGAAACAAATATTTAAGCTATCACATCATATTTGTATAATGCTTATACAAATTGAATTTTGATCATTAGTCTCTTATGTTAAAGCACAATATAAATTGCTTGGTGCTTTTTGGGTAAAAATTTTTAATGGTATCTTGACTGTGCTTTTGGGAGTGAGCACTCATATTTCCTGAAATGCTGACTCCACCTTCCTTCTATGGCTATCTTGAGATGGAACATTTTATAAAGTTTTTCTGCCAACTTTATTAATTGACTATCCTTCTGAAATTCTCTAGAGAACTCTTCGGGCTTGAGATTATTCCCTTTTCCACGGGAATAAAATTTTCAGGATTCCCATAGGCACAGATATACATATTGGTTGTTTCTATGTTTTTACCCAAAACCTAAAGACATGTGTGTTTGTTTTTTACCTTTGTTGCACTGAGACTTTTATCTCTTGTTTCTGGAGAGAAGATTTTCAATTGATTAAAAGATATCCAGGAGAAGTGTAGACTACAGTGACTGTCACTGGATCTTTGGCTTAGGTAAACTTAATAAACAGAAATAGGCAACATTAAACGAAACCATATACAAACTGTATCTTGCTGACACATCTCTATATTGCAGATCATCCCTTGTGCCAACTTCAGAACTGATGGTGGCATCAAACACAATGACTTTGATTGGGAGTATTAATCACTGAAGTGCATGACAAGTATATGACCATTAAATTGTGTGTACAGTGTGTAATGAAATATGTTTGCCTAAAACTTAAGGCAATTACAATTCCATTTTTTCCCTAAATTTTTTAGTACTTTATTTTATTTTAAAGATGTGGGATATAAGTCAGGAATAGCTTCCTAACTAATCTATGTACAGGTAAAGTTTGAGCCTCCAACTGATCCTCACTTCCACCTGTTTAGGATAAGGTACACTTTATGGTATTAGGTGACCCCTCACACTCCATCCCTTGCTCCCTCCCCTGGCAGTGTCCCACAACTGCCATTCCCTTCCTTGTACTGTTGTAATGTTTAGGTCCCACTTATGAGTGAGAACATGCGGTATTCTCTTTTTTGTTTCTGTGATGAATTACTAAGAATGATTGCCTCTAATTCCATCCAATTTGCTGATTTTGTCCTTTATGGTTATGTAGTATTATTCATAAAGTTATATCTAAAACTTGTAAAAAGTGCATTAGTGTTGTAGTTGTCATGATTTTCATTACACAGATTGATAAGAAGATGGAAAAAGTCTTTGGTTCAATTGAGAAATACTAGCTGTTTATTTTAGATAGCACCAACTTCCTTAATATGACTTCCTAGTTTTTATGTCCATGTGTTATGTTATCCTGAGGCACCATCATCCCTTTAGTTTCTATATTGAATCACATTTTTCATTAATTTAATGGTAACTTATCTCTTCTGAAAGATCAGAAAATATCTTAGAAGATAACATAACTTAGAGCAGGTGGTCTAAAATGTTAAGGAAAAAAATCATAATTTTATAAAAATTTCTTCAAGATTCATTACCTAGTCTTTAATATGTGATGTGTTATGTAAAAGAAAAAGGACAGAGACAGTATCTGATGCACCTCACAGGCTTCCTAAATACCAAATATCTGAGTTATAAACTTTGCAGGCATGATTATACAATCATTAAGTCAGAATGACAGCATGCTTGTTCTTTACCTTCACGTCCCAGAGGATGTGATGGAAGCTGAGAGAGGGTATGTTACTGCGCTAAGGGAGCACTATCACTAGTGGACCTCTAATTCAAACTCAACTCTCTGGCTGTGTTTAAAATTAATATTTTATTAGTACTTATTTTAGAGACAGAGTCTTTTTTATGTTGCCGAGGCTGGTCTCAAACTCCTGGCCTCAAGCAGTACTCTTGCCTCAGAATCCTAAGCTTCCGGGTTTACAGACATGAGTCACTATGCCCAACGAAAGCTCAAACTCGTACAATACTTATCACTGTTTATATGGTGACTGTATCCAATATTTGATATGATATCTAGGACTATTTTTAGGATGATACACAATAATTATATTACTTTCAAAAATAGGTTAACTCCCAGCTTACACAAAATAAATGATTTTGTAAGTTCCATAGACACCAGTGTTTGAATCCAGCATGTACTTTGTTTTCACAGGTTTTGAAAGAGATCAGTATACATGTCTTTGCTTCCAGCTTATTCTGATTAGTATTGACAGAATAAAACACTGTATTCTGAGCATAATCACCACAGAAATTTAGTCTTTGTAATATAAACATACTTCCAAGAGAGGTTGACACACTCTAAGGATAAAGTAAAATAAAAAGAGGAGATATAAATTCAGTGCCACTTGTACTGAAGAGAGATTAAACGGAAGTTAAGGGGAATTCATGTTAATGGCAAAAATGTATCCACAATATTAGGCAAGATAGATAAGCTAGCAGTTGGAAATGAATGTCAGAAGTAGACTTACAAAAAACAAATTTAAATGCACAGGAATTTATTTAGTCTACTGACTTTATACACTGTCCCCTATGTACACAGAGATTTTCTGTAGCTAATTATGTTGATATTGTGACAATATTTTCCAACTAAAATTGATCCAATCTTATGACAAGAAGGAAGAGATGTTATAAAATTAAGGATGACCTGGAAAATTTAATATAATTAGCTGTCATATTCAAGGATGTGCTAAGATGGTAACTGAAAGTTAAATTGCATAGTTATTAAATATAATCATTCATTGTGCCCAACATATTCTCAAAATACCATGTGGGTCACCAGCAGTTGGTGGACAGGAGCAGTTATTGAGAAACTGAGAGATGGTAATCTGAAAAAATCATGAATAAGTTGCAGTCATGAGGTTGATAGGAAGAAAATAAAAGAGGTTAATTATCTTAGGTCAATGAAAAGAGACAAATTTTCTAACTCACTCCGTGGCTAAGCACAAGAAGAAAGAAGTGCTCTCTTGTGCAAAGGCAGTGAGCTGTGTTATCCTGGGTGGTAGGCCAGATATAAAATACAACTTTTTTATGTTTTTCTCTGAAGATTCAGTCTCTTTAAATTCAAATTGATAACATCAATTTTTCTTAGAAAGGAAAAAAAAACTGTAATTGACTCAACAACTTATATAATCACAGTCCTGGTAGACAGTGGATGAGGCAGTAATGTGTAATGGTTTAAAGTACATGTTCTGATTTCAACTTCCTGGATTCAAATCCAACTGAGGGCACTTACTAGCTCTGTGGCTGTGGTAAGTGAGTTAAGGTGTTTACACTTTGTTTTTATTTCCTTTAAATTGGAAGTAATCATAGTACCTATCTCAGAGCAGTGTTGTAAGAAATAAAGGAAATAACTGATATACCTACAATTACTCAGGTGTTTATAAAATGATAGCTGTTATTAAAAACAGGAGGTTGTATCATTAGACCCTCACCTTACTTCTCCAGTAGAGAAAATCAGGGATATTCTCTTTACTTAGCAACATTAAACACTCGGATATTGCTAGAAGCTCCTGGAACCATTTCTTGATACTGTTTGTATCAGTACATTGGAATTTTAGGAACATATATATTTTTTGTCCTATTGAATTTAACAAACAAATGGATACTTCTTGAATGAATGTAATTTAGGAGTCAGTTTAGAGAAGCATTCCTATTTTTGATGGAGGACTGAAATAACAATTGAATCCTTTACTTTGATTCTTTCTTTAAAATGTTGAAAGGAATTGAAAAAGTCTTTAAAAACCAGTTCCGTTTGACCAATGCTAGTCAACAATACAATTTGGTTTTACAAGGGTAAGAAAAATAGCCGATGATCTGTTTTTGTAAATAGAGTTTTATTGGAACGCAGCCATAGCTATTCATTCCTGTATTGTCAATGGCTGCTTGCAGGCTACAAGCCAGAACTGAATAGTTGAACACAAAGAGATAGTAGAGCCTGCAGTGCCAAAAATATTTGCTATTTTATCTTTTACAAAAAAGTTTGCTGACTTCTCTTTTAGGAGAGAAACATTCATTTTGTATGAAATTTTTTATTATCAGCATAATGAACATGTGGTAGAATATTCTTAAATGTCTTGATAATAACTATCTAATTTCTATTTCCAAGGAGATTAATGGCAATCTTTCCTCTCACCCCACAACTCCTACATGTATAATCACGGTATTTAAATCTCATTATAAATTTCG